CAAAGGAAGGATGCCTCGCGGAATAACGAACAAACTTCAACGATGCCTTAACGCCTTTGCTGATTATGCCACCACGTGGAAAATTAAAATCAATCCCTCCAAAACACAAGCGATCATGTTCCTACATCGGCAATCGCCCAAACTGAAACCGGCTCCATCTTGTACTGTAATCATGGATGGCACAAGGGTTGAGTGGTCCGCCGAAGTAACCTATCTTGGGATGTTGTTTGATGAAAAGCTCCTCTTCCGTTCGCATGTAGAGAAAACAGTAGTCAAGTGTTCTGCCTTGGTTAGGTGTCTGTATCCGCTGATTTGCCGCAGATCTCGCCTCTCAAGGGTAAACAAACTGGCCGTCTACAAACAAATCATAGCACCTGCGATCCTCTACGCAGCTCCGGTGTGGGAATCATGTGCACAGACTCACAGGAACAAAATTCAGGTCGCACAAAATAGAGTGCTGAGGATGGTTCTTGATCGTCCTTTCGACACTAGAATAACAAATTTACACGAAGAGGCAGGAATTGCCAAAATAGATTCAAGAATTAACGAAATTAAGACTAAATTTGCAGAAAAATGTAATTTATCAGAACATGCTTTGATAAGCAACTTGTATATAGTAGGTTAGGTGCATATAGTAGTTGTAGGTTAGTTGTAGTTGTAAATAGTAGTTATAAGTAGTCTCCTTTTTCCAATTCAAATCAAACCAATCCCACCAAGGTGGTCATACTTTAAAATAGGCCTGATAGGACTAGTAACTGTAAATAATAATTAAAATCTCAAATGAACTAAAGTTGAAAAGACGCATCTGTGTCACTTGAAAAAATTCATAAATGTAAACCACACAAACACAAGAAATAAAGATCATTTTAAGTAGTAAAAAAAGTAGGAAAAGTGGAAGATAATTCTGAGATAGCAAATTAGTAATCGAGGAAGGCCGCAACATTATTGTGAATGGCATCATTGCCATAGTTTTAATTTTCAAAACAAATTTACTTACGCATCTGTTCAATTTCAGCTGCAATTTTACTCGTTGTCGGCATAAAGCAAAGAAAGAAACGTTTCATTTATCACTGGAATAATTCACAAAATCACAAGTAACAATACATCCATTTGAAGCTTATTATAAGAAAGACAATAAACTTGAAAAAGTTAGCTTCATTATTATATCAGAAGTAATGACTCACGATACAGTTGCAGTTCAGTTGTTCATCTAAAAAATGATAGATTTTATTAAACAATCGATAGATTTGTCTGAAATTACTTTTCTGCCAGATGGGGCAGCATTTCAGTCAAAGCATGGATTAGAAGCAGAATGGCAGTTTTTTGCAACGTCTTATGGAAAAGGTCCCTGCGATGCCATTGGTGGTACTCTCAAGCGAATGATAAATAGAACTAGTCTTGCTCGAGATTATGGAAACACGATAACAACTCCACGAGAATTATGTAACTGGGCAGTTGAACAAACAGATAAAAATATCACAAAACTACGTTTCGAGTACATAACCACTGAACAGTACATCGAAATGTCAGAAGAATTCGAAGAACTATAAAGTAGCACAAAGACAATATCTGGTGCACATAAACCCCACAGTTTTGTGCCTTTAAGTAGCGGCAAGTAGCGGCAAAAGGTATTCTAATTCAGAAGATGAACCAAAAATATTTAACTTGATTGGAAAAAGGAAAAAATTGCATGCATGAAAATAGGTTTAAAACATTGAAAATATATAAATAAATGATAGGTATATGAAAAAGCTTGTCTTTTTTCTCTCACATATTATCAGATGTTGCCTCAGTAGTAGACAACAGAATAAGGGAATGATATTTTTTTGACAAGGTGTACATGTCCAGAATGTTTTATTGAACTCTGTCAATTCCGAATACGATTTGGCGAGATATGCATCATGAGCCCTTTTCATATGAAATTCTCGATTAATCAAAGTGAACGTAAGTGCTGATTAGACAAAATTGAATCGCAAATTGTGCTTCATTGGCCTCTGAGATGATTTTGAGTTTTCCTGGTTTAGTTTTGTGTGATATGGTACGTTAAAAAAAAACAGTTCAGACATGAAAAAGTTTTTGTTGGATTTTTTTTCTTAAAAGTGCCCATCTCGCGATGTATGGACGGTTGGTAGTAAACATAATTGCCTATCTTGAGACAAAGTTTCATCCAAATCAAACATGGCCATTTGTAATCGACTTCAAATTTTAAAAATCGTTTTTTATTCAATGTAGGTCTCTGATGGAATTTTTTTTAGAATTTTTTTTTTTGAAAACTTGGATAATTTTCTAAAAGGACATTTTTGTAGGAGTTGTTCTTTTTTCCATAATATTTATTTTTGAAAAAAAAAATCAGCTGAAAAGTGTGGCCCTTCTCAAAGGTTAGTCTAGATTAATTATGGAAAAACTAAGTATATGCGCGAAAAGCGTCTATTATCACGTCAATAAGTATGGTCATTTCCACCAGTTCATAGTATATCACAACAATGGTTGGCTCTAAAAAGTACTACCTTATTCGAATTTTAATGGAAATAGGATTCACATTTTCAACTTGAATGTGGTTAGACTATAGTTTCTTTGAAAAAAAATGTATGGGAAAAAGGTGGGATCTCGTATGGTAAACGTTCTTAACCACCCATTGCAAACATTCTTAACCACTCATGGAACCCATGGGTGTTCGAAAATCTTAAAAAAATATAGTCTAGGTATGGTCCGATTAAAGTTGACTGAACCATTCTCATTATGGGTTTCACTGAAAGATAAACCATTTTCAATGTGGTAACCGTATGGTTGCGATTTTTGTGGGTAGACACCCTGTAGTCTGATGATGCTTGACCGCCCATGGTTACTACTCTGTTATTGCCAGATCAGCTGTAATTACACAGATAACCAATAGACGATGATTGGGACTAGCAATCAACCTCAATGTGTAAAAACTGGTGATCTCAAACTAGGCAATAGCATTCTTTGCTCGACTGTCGAGCTGTTCAGTCCGTATTTTCGCTCGAGTTCTCGATTCAATTTTGTTTCGTTTTGTGCTATCGCGTTGCGCCGTGGAAGTATCGCCACCTTCTCGCGTTCTGGCAAGTTTACTTGAACTTGCAAACACGAAACAAATGGTGCGTAAACGTGCCAATGAGTCAGCAGCGGGCCCTTAAAAGAAGGTACTAATCAAGCCCAGCGCGTCGCAGGATGACGCCGGAAAACGAGTACTGCAAGCCAACCAGTATGCAGTACTCCCGGAAAAAAATGGCGCTTTTCACGCCGGTGAAGTATGTTGCCAAGCTGGGTGCCGAACTGGCAAAACACAAGCTGCTGCCTCGCTTCAAGCTTTGCAGCATCGGTACCAAAATCATGTGCTCCAGCCTTGAGGAGTACAAACAAATAGGATGTTTCCTGAAGGACAACAACGTGGAATTCTTCACGCATAATCTGCCATCGAGCAAACCACTGAAGGTGGTTTTGCGTGGATTACCGTCGTTCGAGGCGACTGAGGTGAAATCCGAGCTGGAGCGGTTTGGGCGTTTGGGCGATGAACCGGCGTCCCAACCACAACACCAGCTTCCGTGATCAGTTGTTCCTGGTGCATTTCACGAAGGGATCCACCAGTATTGCGGCTCTGAGATCCAAAATCCGGGACCTGTTTCAGGTCATCATCAGTTGGGAGCATTACAAACCCCAACATCGTGATGTTACGCAGTGTACGAACTGCCTCTCCTATGGCCATGGCACCAAAAACTGCCATATGAAGACAAACTGCCTCAAAAGTGCTGGAACTCACTCAACTGCGTCCTGTGAGCAAGTTGATGACATAGAGCCAACGTGTGTCAACTGCGGTGGAAACCATCAAGCCTCCAATCACGGATGTCCCAAGCGAGTGGAGTTCATTAATATCCGTCGTAAGGCTACAATCAACAACCAGGTCGGTCACCACCGTAATCATCGTTCGCCTCCTGTACTCACGGAAGTCCAGTACCCAGCTCTCCAGCCCCGTCGACATGTTCCGAACCTACACACTTAGAAAAAATCATGTAAATTTAGGTGCTCTGAGACTGACATATACGAGCGTCAATTTTGACATAGAATTGAGTCATAATAGACGTGAAGTTCATCTCAATCAAACGTATTTTTCGTCGAGTAACAAACTTTCAGTTTCGGAGCACTTAATTTTACATGACATGTTTGCTTACGTCTCATCCTTTGTGTCAAAGATGAATTCCGTCACGTGTAAAATTAGGTTTTTCTAAGTGTGTAGCCCCGCTTCCACTCAACAACCAACAAGCCAATCCTACGAGTATCCAAATGGTTCCCAGCAGTCGGACAGTTTAGCATCGTCTTGCTGCTGCTGCGGCCCAGCCAATTCCAGGTTCATCCACCGCCCCTGGTTTATCATACGCTGGTGCTGTCTCAGGTGAATCTGTCGACGATTCTCCGTTCACCTCGGAGGAACTTGTGACGCTTGTGGCCGAGGTCATCATCATCATGCGCACCTGCAAGACTCGATCTGAACAGGTTCATGCTGCCTTGTCACTCGTCACCAAGTATGGACCGTGAAGCTATAAAAAATGCAAATTGGAACGCTTGCTCACTGACGAACAAGCATAGAGAGCTACTCGATTTCCTCAACACCAAGGAGGTCGACATTGCTATCATCACCGAGACGCATTTGAAGCCCGAATTGAACGTATTCCTTCCCGACTTCCGGCTCGTCAGACTTGATCGCACCATCTGCTCTGGAGGTTGAGGAGTGGCCATCGCTGCAAGACAGAACATCAGTTGCCGGCTACTACCAAACATCCAGCTGAAAACAATTGAAGCCATCGGAGTGGAGGTGATCACATCACTTGGCCCAATCACCATCATCGCGGCCTACTGCCCCAAGCAAACCAACATCAGGGACGGATCGTCACTGCCCCCCCGGAAAGACATCATCAAACTCACCCGGAGGAGCGGGAACTTTATCATCGCTGGCATCTGAACGCAATACACCAAGCTTGGGGCAACGGTCGGAGCTATAGAAACGGCATCATCCTCAATGAAGACCTGCAAGAGGGCCACTATACCATCTTGGCCCCGGACTCTCCCACCCGGTTGAGTTGGTCTGGGGTCCATGCGACCATCGACATCTTTATAAGCAACATGGGACACAACATCTCGCAACCTGTGGCATTCCAGGAGCTGAGCTCGGACCACTACCCGGTGGTGGCCGAAGTTGGATCCTCGGTAAACCGATTCGAAGCTTCCCGGCGCAACTACCATCGAGTCAACTGGGTGCAATATCAACACTGCGTCGACACAACCATCGACTACTATGTCCAACCGGGGACGTCCGAAGATGTTGACCGGTGTCTACAAACTATCGAGCAGGCGATTTCCCGGGCCAGTGAACAACACGTGCCAGTATCCAGACAGGTGAGTAACACTCTGAACCTTGACAGCCCTACCAAAGATCTCATTAGACTCCGTAACACCATTCGTAGGCAGTACCAGCGTACTGGCCTGCCTAGCTTGAAGACCAATTGTAATCGATTAACAAAGATCATTCAGGCCAGGATGGTTGATCTCAGAAATAAAGATTTTGCTAGTAAGATCCGCTCTCCCCCAGATTGTGCTAAGCCCTTCTGGAAACTTACAAAAATTCTTCAAAACAAGCCTAGTCCCAGTGGTTCATCTGATAACTCCTGAAGAGAAGGCTGCCGCTATAGGTCAACACTTCGCCAGCTCCCATAATCTCGGACAAAACATCATCAGCCCTCATGAATCTGAGGTTGCTGAAAATGCAACCAATCTTCAATCTTCTTCTAACATTTTTCCAGAGGAATCCGAGATTACTGTTGGCCTATATCAAATCATCTAAAAACATGAAGGCTTCAGGTTTCGACAACACCCTGAATCTGGAACTCAAACACTTGAGTTCCAGATTCTACAACCATCTGGCACTGATTTTTAATCAGTGCCTCAGACTTGGCTACTTCCCCTCGTGTTGGAAGTCAGCTAAAGTCATACCCATCCGGAAACCTGGGAAGGATCCGTACTCTCCTTAAAGTTATCGACCAATTAGCCTTCTCTCAGGGTTATCAAAACTGTTCGAAAGAGCAGTGTACCACCGGCTCCTAACATCTGCCGATGAAAACAACTTGTCACTCGAGGAACAGTTTGGTTTTCGGAAAGGTCGTTCGACCGTCCACCAGCTAAATCGAGTAACAAACATTCTTAGACGAAACAAGTCTGTTTCGAAAACATCTGCCATGGCGTTGTTGGACGTTGAAAAAGCGTTCGACAATGTCTGGCATGATGGCCTGGTGATCAAATTTCAGCAGTACGGTCTTCCAATCTTTCTAGTGAAGATAATAAACAACTATCTATCAGACAGGACGTTCCGAGTCTCACTGAATGGCATCACATCGGATGCTTTCAACATCGGCGCCGGGGTTCCACAAGGAAGCATCCTTGGCCCCATCCTATTCAACCTGTTCACCTCCGATATGCCGGCTCTCCCTGATGGTGGATCGTTGTCTCTGTCCGCAGATGACACATCCATCGTCTACAAGGGTAGGGTCATCGGAGCTCTGACTGCCAAACTTCAGAGAGGCCTGGACGTCCTGTCTGAATATTTCAACAGCTGGAAGATCCGTATCAACGCGGCAAAGACCCAGGTAATTATCTTTCCATCTCCCAGACTTGTTCCGTCGGAGAATAACAAGATCTGCCTGAACGGCACAGTGGTGGAATGGTCCAAAGAGGTCGTGTACCTCGGGCTAACAATAGACAGCAAGCTTCTTTTCAGGGAGCACGTTGACAAAACGAAAACCAGGTGCAACATTTTGATAAGATCGTTGTATCCACTTATCAACTGGAAGTCAACCCTGTCCCTGAAAAATAAGCTTGCTGTCTACAAACAAATCATCCTTCCTGTAATCGAGTACGGTATCCCAATCTGGGAGAGTTGGTATAAAACCTCAAAAGATTGGAAAATATCAGTTATCTTAGTTATCAGTTATAACTTATCATAACATATTTGAAGTCGGTCAATAGCCTGGTCAGTACAGCCGCAGCATGCCATACCCGAAGATGGTGGGTTCGTTTCACAGTTCGATTATGGAAATTTTCGGGTTCACCATGTTCAAAGGAGTGATACATGTATTGTGTCACGCTCTAAGGGGAAGAAGGGGTGTAAGATTTTGCGACAAGCAGTGCATTAGGTATAGGAAAAACGTGACGAAATATCGGAGAGGGTGGTAGGGGTTATTTTTTTCTCAGTTTAGCGTGACATAATTAAAGTATGGCCACAAATGAAAAATAGTACCTGCTTTGAATGCTTCCAATTTATTTCCCTTGATTTGTTTTCCATCGATCTTGTTTTCCGTGCTGAGCACCAATGCTACCGACGCCAGGGAGGCAGCTCCCACACCTGGACCCTACCTATCGACCCATCATCTCATAAACCGGGGACCAAAATGTTATGCCTCAGAACATCCCGGCGGCGCCGACTGCGATTTAACCCAGGCCTGCTAGGGTGAGAGGTAATCACGCTTACCACTACACCACCGGCGCCGCTAAATGCTTCCAATTAACGCGTGTGTGCACTGATGTAGTTGGGGCAAAGGATCCAAGATGAATAATAATAAGAATTGCAATTTGAGGGAATTTCTACATCAAACAAGTAAACTCACTGACTGATCCTTACACACATATATTCGTTGTACATTTATTTCGAGTGGCACTGTACAATATCAGAAGACATGCATTTACGGTCTTGGATCGAACACCGCTCCGTAGAACAGGGGTAGCTTGGTGATATCATTTCGAAGGTAGATCAGGAACGGTCCGTCCACTCGCAAGTTGAACGACGACGAAATTCGATCGATAACAACTGCCGTCACTGCACCTCCCTCCGTTCCTTGCTCGTTGATGTCCAGGGTGACCTTATGCAGGACGTCTCCAACGTAAAGATTCGGAGGTGATGAATTGTTTTGTGTCTGCCGTTTGTGCCGGTGATCGGAATTTTCCGCAGCTGGTCCGACCTTGTAATTCGCCAGTGAACAAATGGTATGAATTTGGCAAATATAACTATTTTGATAACATCTATTAACGTATCGACACAGCTGAGTTGGAGCAGATGGTGTAACGACAATATTTGGATTGAATCGATTTCCTACTTCAAATGTGTTAGGTGGACTAAAGCTTTGCTGGTTATCAACCGATGAAGGAGAAATGGATGACTGCTGGATGGGTTGAGTAGCTGCAGCACTTGGAGGCATACAGCAATAGCACCAATCTGTCAGCTGCTCACAATTTTGCGCACACTGACCTTTACCGATTGGGTATTTGGAGTAAGAATCTGCTAAACACAGCCCATAATCTTTAAGTACTTGTCTTTCCGGCGGACAATTTCGTTGAATATTCCATGGTTTAGAGCATCCTCTTGCATTTGTGGATATTGGACTATTTAAAAAGCAGGTGCAAGTATATCCATCATAGACACAGTTATTGATCATATTACAAACGTTTTCCTTTAGCCCAACCTTGGTTAGTTGATTAGCTGGTGGCACATCTGGACTATGGATGGGTTGGATTGGTGCCGAGACTGGTGTAGGTTTGGGCGATGTCTGTTTTCGTGTGATTGGCATGGGTGTCGAGGTTGAATGAGGTTGTTGGGCCCATCGATTTACAGTTTCGAATATACGGCCTTCTTTTGTTATTTCAGTAAGATTACTGAGATATGGATTGAAAATCTTCTGCAATCCTTCGGATACCAACACATCCTTTAGCCCCAAGGTGTTCTCCAGCTTCATTTTTGGCAGCAGAATTGTGCCCGTTTTGACGACCATTCTATCGATAAATTCATTCATTTGACCCACGTGCACTCTGTTCTGGAGAATTCGGATCTTTTGCCGATCGGATTTATTAGGCATAATAATGTACATGGTCGTCTTTCCTTCCTGGTATGGCAAACCAACAATCTTGACGTCAAGCTGCTTGTCTTCGTAGAATGGAAAACACCCAGAAGTAGTCATTGTGTAAATATCAATTGGAGGCGACTCTCGTCCGTTGATGTAGTAAGGTCTCGGTCGGGTTTCCGGTTCGATGAACATCGTTTCCCATTTAGCTTTGAAGTATAATGCACTAGCTAGCACCATTGGGGCATTGCTCACTTGCTCGGGGGACACAATTTCACGAATTTTATTCCTGGTGGCTTGTTGAACCCATTTGTTGATCTCGTAGGAGGATCGCACTGGGTCGCTTAACAGTGGCTTCCGCGAAATTTCCCCTGCATACAGTTTTTTCGTTAGATTTTCGTAGTTTGGATTCAGATGTAGATTGCTATCAAGAAAAACGCCATTCGCCACCGAGATGAAGTGCGAGCTGTTAATGAAAGAAGATGACATTCATTACACATGGGCTGTTTTGAGGGGTTTTCAATTGTTGATGTGTTGTTGATCGTTAGCACTGTATTTTTTGTTTTGAAGCACTTTCACCACTACGCATGATTAGGCAATATGGTTTGACTATTGGTAACACATGTTCAGATATGCGCAAATGTAGATCATTTGGCTGTAATAGCGGTTTTTGTCAGCAGTATTTTTAACAGTGTTGGAAATATCGCCAAAAGTTCAATATCGCAAGCGAGATGTTTTCGCTAGGAACTTTGCGATGCGAATTTCGCAAAGCGTTATTTTCAGAGCGAACTTTCTTGCTTGAGATTGAGAGGAACGAATATCACTCCCGCTTTGTCTCACCATCGAGAGAAAGAGAGAGAGAGGGCGAGCGTCTGTTATTTTTGTTCTAACTTCCTTACACAACTTTTCGTTTTCGATATGTGATGATGATATAGTTCGCGAACTGTGACTCGTAAACTTCCTTATTGGTAACTCCTAAGCAGCCTTTGAAGTTTGAATTGCTGTTATGAAAATGTAAACTTTGTAAATGTCTATCCTAAATGTATACTTCCTCCAATAATAACGCACGGGTTACTCCTAGGGGACGTTCATCAAATTTTTTATCATTTTTTGCCCCTTGCCCTCCCCTCTGTAACATGCTGTCACAAATGATATAACCCATCCCCTTTTGGATGTCACACCTATAAAAAAAAACTAATTAAATTTTAAATTAAAAAAAAAATTCGAACATTGTGAAAATTTGGAGTTTAAATCATTTCTTTGCACAAATAGGATTATGCAATTTGTTTGAACGGTCTTGCTAATTCATATTTTATCACGTTGGACGTCACTTTATTGTAACCCCTCTTCTTCCAGTCACAATTTTTCATAAAATCTATACCCCCTCCTATATGGGCAATAAGAAACTATCAATTTTAAATTGACTCACTACTTGACTAATAGAGTGATGCAAAATTTGAAATTTTCGCTCCACAATACTTAAACGAATCCAAATCGGATCCTGACTAACCTCTCAAAATTTGAACCCATTTTGTGAGAAACTGAGATGGCACAAACCATTTGAAGTTTGTATGGGAATTACTATGGTGAAACCAAGATTTTTGTTCATGTTTATCTAATAATTCACCATATCGGTCTGCCTCAAAAGCTTCAACTGTACTTGTAGCTACAACTTTGCTGAAGACCACTTTTTGATTAAATGCAAGGATCGAAAGTTATCAATGGTTCAATGCGCTGATGTCTTATGATCATGCTTGGACAAGCAGCAGGCAACATTGGTGTTTCTGGGGCGTTGAATAGGACACAAAAATCATGGCTACTTTGTCACACTGCAACATACAGTGTTGCCTACAGAGCAGCTGCTTGATCATGTCATAAGTTTATCAATCTCTTAAATAATCAATAACTTTTTCCTGCCTCGTTTAACAAAGAAACGATTTTCAACATAGTTGTAGCTGATTTTATATAAGAATGGCTATCGAACTGTTTCATAGCTCAATATGGAAAAAGACTAGAAGGCATTGAACAAAAATTTGAGATTTCCCATAGTAATTTACATGTTAACTTCAAATAGCTTGTGCGAAGCCTGTTTTTAACCAAATGAGTTGTAGCTTTGGGAGGCTAATCAGGACCCGACTTGAAACCATTTAAGCACTGTGGAGCGAAAAAGTCAAATTTTGCATCAGTCTATTGACTATCCTATTGGTCCCACGTACATCTATAAGCGTTCAAGCCATTGGGCCGTATAAATAAAAATAATTTACTTTACTTTCCCGTGCGTTTCTTACGAGAAAAGTAAAGTAAACGCTTTTATTCATACGACCTATTCTAGTTGAAATTGTAGAACTTCACTACACACTTAGAAATACGTAATCTTACACGTGACGGAATCATGTCATGTAAAATTAAGCGCTCCGAGACTGAAAAGTTCGAAAGTACGTTTGATTGAGCTGAATTTCTCGTCTATTATGACTCAATTTTATGTCAAAATTGACACTCGTATATGTCAGTCTCAAAGCACCTAAATTTACATCAATTTTTCTAAGTGTGTATGTTTGTTTTGATTCACTATGAAAGTTCGACAGATAAAATGAGGGGTTCGTGGATTTTCCTATGTTTCGAGGGATGCATCGAATAGCTTGGGGCCGAAGAGAGTACCAGAGTACAAATATCTAATCTAGAAAAAGAAAACATCTTCGCGCATCTCGTTCGGGATCTTTTATTCTACTTTCATTCACGATTTTTACACAGCTCATTCTCCAAAGAAATGATTATCTGGAGAACAGCGAAACAACTATTTTTGAAAATGAACTATCTAACCAGTGCTACACTCAACTTAGCTACAACTAACCATCTACCTGCATGAATTTGAATTTTGACATATCAACATTCTTTTGATCATGGCAACCTCTGAGTAGTTGATGAATGGGTGCGATATCCTATGCATGTGGGGAAGCGGCCATCCTGCAAATCCGATTGCCGTGGTGGTTATACCAACAATCAATTCGAAACTAACGATTTTAAATTGGCTCACTACTTGACTAGTCTATTGGTCCCAAGCAAATCGATTAACGTACCCCATTATATACCATAGAGGTAACTCTAAGACCAGAAGGTCCCGAAGAAACGAGCTCAACTTTTAACTCAGCTCTGGTACTATCTTCGGTCCCAAGCTGATCGATTCACCCCTCGAAACATAGGAAAATCCACTAACCCCTCATTGTATCTGTCAAACTTTCATAGCGAATCAAAACAAACATAGTGTTGTACTGGAATTTATACTAGAATGGGGTTTATATATGGGGTTATAATTTAAAATCGTTAGTTTCGTATTGATTGTTGGTTATACTGTCATGAAGCGACTGTCATCTCTCGTCTTCGCTTTATTTTTTGCAAAATGTTGCCGCGCTCTTCATTTCTATTCAGTTCCGGTCGAACGTTCAAATTTTCTGAACAGCATTGCGGCACTGTATGGAAGTAATTTGAAGCCACTCGAAGAAACATGGTTGCCAGTGACATTGCCAAAAGGTCCCTCAAAAACCGTGCTGCAGTTTTGACATAAATTTTATTTGCGCGTCTCTATCAACGTCTCTGACCTCAGCAACCCACAACTTTCGCACTGAGCTATCGGAAAGATGTTGGGAACAATCTACTGTTTCTCGTGTCATAAAACGTTTCGGAGAACTTTTAACTGTCGTTCGGAAGCAAGTGAGTGCAAGAAAAAGTGTTCCGTTCTGCGTTGAAGATCACAAACGAGTGGTTTCTGCCTTCAAACTAGAGATGGGAGATCCGCTCCCGAGCTGTTCTTTAGACCCGATTCTCTAAAGTGAACTGATGACCCGCAGTTCATTTTTCAGGAACCACAGCTCATCAGTTCACTGATATTACAAGTCTAAACCATACATTCCATCACTCATAGCGGAACTTTTAAAAAAGGACACATTACTCCACTTACGCATTGAAAGTTACCGCGTAAACCAAGACGCGCGCGTAATACAACATGTGCTTACTGATCGACCGCACCCAACGGTAAAAGCAAACTTCCAAGCAGCTGTTTGGGAGAGAGAGAAATATGTACATGTGCTACACGATCTTAATTATCTACTGGTATTCAGTGTTGGAAAAGTTCGTGAAAACTCACTATGAGTCACGAACTTTTCCCTTGGTGAACTTCATGAAATATCGCGAACTTTTCCAACACTGCTGGTATTATCCAATTTATTTATGTACCCAGCTCTTATTGCTGATGTTATTCCTCTAGCATATGTGCTCTCACCTCTCCTCCCATCATTCTCTGGGGGAGCGGAAGATCCGCACAAAAGCAAACCGAAAAGCGAAATGCAGCTCTCCAGCTTATCAGCTCAGCCCCGGATCCGAATCATCGACTCGAATGATTCAATGGGAGCTATTTAGGATGACAACTCTCGGACCCGCCCAGCTGTCGGACCCGACCAGCTCTTCGGATCTTTTTCTCTCTCTCCATTCTTCACGATTCAGCTCCGGATCCGTATCTGAGCTGATGATCTGGAGCTGATGCCGAGAATAGTGAGAGAAATTCTGCTGGAGAATTAACATCAGAAATAAAATTTGAATTTAGACTGGATTGCATAGCTTGAGAAAAGGCGTAACATCGTGTGTCACGTTGACAATCATATCATCGGGTGTGACATAGGTGTAGCTCTCTCGCATATATTTTTTGTTTTACTGCTATGTTGTTGACACATTTTGCGCGTATTTTGGTTTACGCGATGGTTGAGCAGTTGTTGCGGTAGTAGCGTTCTCCATTGAAAAGTAAAGCCACGGATTTATTGGTTTAGACTACTTTTACGATTTTATGCAGTTTTAAGCACTAAAACCACTAATTAATTTTCCGATTTTGAATTTGTGTCATAATTTATAGAATTTCAATGTGAGCTAAAGAGCTGGTCAAAAGAATCGACTCCCTCTAGTGAGCTGTATGGGTTTTATCCACTCAGCCAGATGAGCTGTTTTGTCCACCTTTACTTCAAACGCATACCCAACTAATCCGTTCGGGATGTCGCGAAAAAACTGTACCTGACAAAACGTTTCGTGCAGAAAACCAAGAAACAAGCAGGGCTACGTTCATACAAGACTCAGAAAGCATCAAACCGCAATGAACGACAGCATAGGACAGCTAGAACGCAGGCACGTAAGCTGTACGCACAAATGTTGACAAAATAACACTGCTGTATCACAAAGTCCGGGAAACTAGTATGTGAGTGAGAAAGACAACTTCGATGTTTCAGAGTTCCTCAGGGACCAGCAAGTATCGAAGTTCCCCAAGAAATTCATGATTTGACAGGCGATTTGTTCATGCGGAAAACGGAGTAAGCCTTTCGTAACAACTACAACCATAAATGGCCAAGCCTACATGAAAGAGTGCCTGAAGAAACGGAAGCAGTCGTTTTTTCAGGCAAATCACACAACGTTCCTACAATGTCTCTA